GGGGGGGGGGGTTGCACCACGGAGCCTGGCGTGACGAGGCATGGCGTCTCTGCAGACCCGCCGTACATTTCCAACGCCAAGAACACGGGCGCCTCGGTGGGCCAGAAGGGCATCCTGCAGTGCGAGGCCTCGGCCGTCCCCGTGGCGGAGTTTCAGTGGTTCAAGGAGGACACCAGGTAAGGGGCCGGCCGTGGAGCTGGGGGGAGACTGGGGGGAGAGGGGGCCCCAGGGTTGTTCCCCCCAGGGATGGCGACCGTGCCTCGCGGTGGGGTTCACGTGAGCTGTGTGGGGCGGATGGGTTACGGGACAAAGAGGGCGATGTGCTTGGCTGAAGGGCTTGTCTCAGTGGGACACAGGGAGTCCGCTGGGCGAAGACGTGGCTATACAGTGGTGTTGGCTGGTGGCAAGGGAGGGGGCACCCAGGGAGGGGGTGGGATACGTCGCAGAGCGCCGGCGCGGCACTCTGAGCACCGGCCTCCGTGTTTCCCTGCAGGTTAGCGAACGGGTTGGAGGGCGTGCGGATCGAGAGCAAGGGTCGCCTGTCGACGCTGACCTTCTTCAACGTCTCAGAGAAGGACTACGGCAACTACACGTGCGTGGCCACGAACAAGCTGGGCAACACCAACGCCAGCATCATCCTGTACGGTAGGTGCCCTGTTTTTTTTTCAGCAAGGTATAGCAAGGAGGTGGAGGAGGAGGAGGAAGAAGAGGAGGAGAGGCAGGCAGACAGCCATCGATGGAGCAACAGAGCGGAGTTGGCTGTATTTAATGTGGCTGGCTCGTAAAGGTGCTGAATGACACGAGCTCCGAGCGGCACGGTCCCACAGAGAGGAGGCATCAGATGAGGAGATCCGCATCGGCCCGAGCGGGCACGCGCGGCCGGGTGGCGGTCAGTGGCGGGCACATCGCTCATGGGTGTTTAGGGGTGCGCAGCACAGTTGGTCGGCTGGCAGCTGGTCTTCTTTATGGAGCCCAGGCTGCAGGTGGAGAAGAGGCTCCTGGCTGAGCCGTGGCGTCACTGGAGCGTAGGGCCGAGGAGGGACCCCAGGCCAGGTGAGCATGCGCTTCGGGTGCACCGTGCGGGGTTTTTCCTGGGCATTGTACCGGCAGGACTACTGGCAGCTCTCACGTTGTACCGGCAGCGGCAGGCCAGGTGGTGTAGGCGTCAACAGCCGTGGCCGGTTGGTTTGTGGCAGGCGGCGAGGGTGGGAAGGTCTTTGCGGAACAGTGGACGGGTCAGCTGTCCTTGAGGAAGGTGGTGTGCAGCTGTGGCATGTCCCCATGGCGTTCCAGCAAGCCAAGGGGGCTGTCACGGGCCAAGGATGGCCGGCAGGGCTTCAGCGCGAGGGAGAGGATGGAGTTGGGCAGCAGGCTCAGCATCTGCTGCCAGCGTAGGCTTGGGCAGCCTTGGCGTGGGCGGCAGGGGCAAAGGGTTGCGCCGTGGTGGGGGCCCATGTTTTGGATGGGACTGGGGCTACCCCTGTCCCCTGGCCGTCTGGGGCTGTAGCGCATGGTGGCAATATGGAAGGGGTGGCCCTGACGGGTGTCCAGGGCCCCGCTGGAGCGTGTGGCGGCCTTCCCGGAGGTGCCACCTCATGGGCCGTGTCACACCCTGGAGAGCATTTGGTGGGGTGCCCTGGGGTTGCATGTCTTTGGTTATTGTGGGGCATCGGTGAGCCTGGCTCTCAAGGTGCCTCGCTTTGTTGTAGGCATGTTTTCAGGGCTCGGCGAGGTGGGGGGCAGGCGGCTGCTAGGCATTGTGGTGTTTGTGGGTCATTGTAGCTGTTGAGGGGGGCTGCTGGATAGGTGGTGATGGGGTGTGGAGCACTAGGGGGAATGGGCCACCACTTTTCAGCACAGGGTGGGAAGGGATGATGTGCAGCAGGACAGCGCGAGTGTCGTGGCAAGACGTCAAGGTGTCATTCAGTGGCGACGCAGGGGGGCGAAAGGGCCAGCGCTGTAGCAGGGCCAGTGGCTCGAACGCTTGCCCATGTCAGAAGTGCAGGGGATCATAGAAGGTTATTTATGTCTGGATGAGGCTTCTGGTCCTCTGTGTGGTGTGAGAGAGCTGGGAGGAGGGGTCGGCAGTCTGGCCTGGAAGGTGCTCCAGAGGAGCGTGGCACCTAGCTGTTGGGGAGTATTAAGGGTGTACGTGGGTTGGAGAGGAGGGGTCCTGGAGGTGTAGGGGTGCCCATCGTCAGGGTGAGGGCTCGACCGGGTCGGTGACCACGGCGGCAGGCTCCCAGGGCGTGTTGTGGCATCACCTTGGCGGGTGGCCCCTGCTCGGTGTTTTGCTCCTTTCCTCCCTCCGTTGTCCTTGTCAGTGGGATGAGGAAGGGAATGGGGAGGGTTAGAGCATGAGCAGTTGGGCAGAGAGAGGAGAAAGATAGCAGAACGGATGAAGGGAGTGCTGTCCTTGGGCAGGTGCATGTTGAGCCCTTTCCTGGGAAGCTGGGCTTTATTAGTGTTAAGGTATACTGGGCAAGTGAAAGTCATGGGAAGGCGACTGCAGTCCTGAAACAGCAGGGTTGGAAAGTTTTGGGGCACCGTGAGGATAAATGCAAGGAGAGCGGCTGCCCCGGCTGCCGAGAACGCAAAGCGTCACCTACTCTGGGAGGTAGCGAGTGGTGGCCCCTGGGAATGTCCTGTCGAGGGCCTGGGGGTCCAGGAGGGCCGGTCTGCTTTTTGGAAATGGCCTTTGATGGCACAGGAATTGGCAGTCCCTTTGGGGGCAAACTCAGGCTGGCAGGGCGGAAGGGAGGTTTGGCCAAGTGGGAACCTCATCTTTGTGGTTGGGTGGAGAAAGCAATGGTAGCATCTCCAGTACAGAGATCGGGCTTTTTGGGAATGTCGTGGGGCTGCAGTTCACCTTGGCAGAGAGAAGCGGGGAAAGGTCCAAGCCAGACTAGAGCATAAACTGGCTGCTGTCTGGGCCGATGGCGTGAAAGGCTTGTGGCAATCTGGGAAGGGCAAGAGGAAGGTGAAGGAAAACAGGCGAGCGGTACGTGTCGAAGATGATGGCCGCCTGAGAAAGAAAGAGCGACAAAGAGCGAGGGGAGGCAGGGCATGGTTGGCGTTCTCTGTCTGTCTTTCATAATCCTACTAGTGATGATAGGCCAGGTCAGAGGGCCGTGACGGCGGGAGGGGTGACTTTCTGGTTGCGGGCTCTGAGATTGTAAGGGACCAATGGCCCTGTAAGGCCATGGGTCCACATGGGGTTCCTCCTGCAGTACCGAAGGAGGCGGCAGATGGGTCCCCTCTCGCTGGTTCCCGGAAGGTCTTGGGAGTTGGGGGTGGGAGGGGGTCTCTGCCAACTGGGAGCCGGGGGACTGTATGGCGGTGTACGACAAGGGCATGAGGGAAGTTCTCGGAGAGTAATGATGTGGCTGTCTGAACTTGGTGCCTAGAGGAATGACGGAAAAGATCATATGGGGTGTCAAGGAAAAGACTTTGAAGGACCATGTGTCTGTCAGGCGTGGTCAGCAGGGGTTCAGGAAGGGAACGTCCCACCTAACAAAGTTGTTGTGCTTGTACGATATGGGCACCCACCTAGCAGGTGAAGGGGAGGCGGCAGGTGTAGCGTTTTGGGAAGGTGGGCGGGCTTTTGAAGCCATCCCTCACAGCATCCTTTCAGAGAAATCATGTTATGGTGAGCCGCACATGGCATGCAGGGTGCAGGGCCGGGTGGATGGTGGGGGCCCGTCGTTAGTGGTGTTGCGTGGGGCTGGGTTGGTTCGAAGCGTCGATCCGTGATCTGGATGGAGGAAGGGCACATACCCTTAGTCAGTAAGCACGCCGATGATCCTAAACTGAGAGGTGCTGTCACCCGTCTTGAGGGATGGGCGACCTGGCAGAGAAATTTGGGGAGCTGCGGGAGGCGTGAAATAGAACAGGGGCAAGTACTGGGGTCTGCACCCAGCATGGTGTAGTGTGAGAGGTGAGCGTAGAGCGGGACAGGAGGGGCTGGACAGTGGCCCTAGCAGGGTCCCGTGCATTGCCTGTGGTACCACTGGCTGGCTGACAGAGGCGACGACCTGCCTGTCGGTAGTGCTGGTATGGCCTCACCTTGCTTATTGTGTGGTGTTCTGGGCCCTGCCCAGAAGGATGTTTAAGTGCTGGAGGGTGTCTCGTGTGGGTTGCTGTCGTGGCTTGGTCCAGCTTCCCTGGCTGCGGTGCCAGGGGAGGTCTTAAGGAGATGCTGTGAAGTGTGCTTTTCCCGCAAGGGCTTTCTTATGCCTGAGCGCGGTGGCTGAGGTGTTGGGGTGAGGCCCTTAATGCCACCCTTTGGCAGTTTTAGTTTGTCAGGCCTGAAAGGCTTGGGCAGTCAGATGCCGTGAATGGAGTCGGTCCCTTCCAAAGGAACTAATGTATTCTAGTATTGTCGTGTGGCACGTTCCCTGCTCCCCCTGCACCAACCCCCTTTTTTTTTTTTCTTCCTGATCTTGTGTCATCGATGCTAAGGTGCTTTGTTTTGTTTTAATGCTTTTGGTTCCATTTGCTTTCTTTCTATTTGGTAGCAGTCTGTTCTTTGTTCTATTCTGTTTTGGCATGCTCGGCTCTGTTCCATTCCCTTCTGCTCCAGCACGGTCAGGCCTTTTCCATTGGGGTCGAATCTCTTGCCGTGTGTTTGTCTTGGTCTGCTCGTGTGTGTTCTGTTTTGTTCTCAAGGGTTCTGCTCGGCCAGGGCTTGCTGTCGTCAGTGCCAATGATCTGTTCGGGTCTGTCCTGCTCTGCTCCATGAGGGTCTCATGGGCTTGGGTGTGTTCTATGTTTGACCAAACAATCTTGTGTTTGGGCTTGGGCAGTTCTGCTCTGCTCCTTGCCAGTCTTGCATGTACTGTTGTGCTCTCTGGTGTTCGGGTCTGCTCTGCTCCGGTCTGTTCTATTCCGCTCTCCTTGCGTTTCACATGTTGCGTTCTATCCTGCCGCTGTGTGCCGCTCTATTCCGTTTCCTTCCCCTCTGGTCTATGGCATTGTGGCCTCCTTCGGTCTGTTGTGCTGCGTCGTAGTCTGTTCTGGTGTGTTCTAGTTGCTGCTGTTCGGGGATGTCATGGACTTGTCTGTTGCGGTCTGTCATGTTCCCATTCTGTCCTCTCAGGTGAGGGTCTACGGTAGTGTTCTCTTCTCATTTGTTGTGGCGTGGTGTGTTTTATGTTATCCCGCCCTGTTTGATTGCCGCCACCTTGGAGTGTAGTGGCCTTGTGGGTTTGACAAGCCCTTGTGCCTGCGCTTGCTCACGTGGACCCGTCTACCAGGCGTGCCGTGGTGTGTGCCATCATCTTCTGTAGCACCCCCAGCGGGGCCGGTCATTGCCGAGAGCGCGCCTCGTGGTTGTGGAGCGGTCGGGGGATTGGAGAGCAAAGGGTGCTGTGCGGCAGGAGGTCTGTCCCTGTGCGGTAGAGTTCCTCTAGGCTAGGCACCGGAGTCTGTCGTCGGTGACTCGGTATTTGTGCGTGCGCTTTCTCTCTCTGGCTGTGGCCTGCGTGTGTTGCTCTGTGCGTGACCGCCCCTGTCTGCCATGTCGATGTGAGAGAGCCTGCCAGGAACGTGCATCCTGGCCTGTGCCCGGCTCTGTCTGTGGATTCGGGCATGTTTACGTGCCTGTCTCGGTGTTCACATGGGAGTTTTGGAGCGGTCGCGTCCCACCATTGGATCGCGCCTTGGTGCGGGGTCGGTGTGCGCCCGCACCCGGCACCACGGTGGGGTCGTCAGGGTGGGTGATTGTGAGGCTGCAGCCAGGATCACGGGTGCATGTTGTCTGTGGTGTGGCGTCTCGGGGCACGTCCCTTTCAGGTCTGTTGTTGCCCGTGTCTGAGGATGGCTGCCGGACCTTGCGTCTCTCCGCGTCTCCTGCAGTTGTTGTGTCTTCCCTGTCTCCATCCGGGTCCTTGTTCAGGTTGTAGACAGTGTCTTGGGAGGGAGTCCGTGTCGGGCTCTGCGTGTGTGTCTGCGCTGCCCTTCGCAGGGTGCCTGGGTGTTTCTCTTTGTCCGTGGGTCAGCGGTTGCGGGTGGCAAGCCCTGCCGTGGCACATCCAGTCTCAGTGCACGTTGGGTGCTCCTCTGCCTAGCGGTGCGTCCGTGCGGTGACGAGGCTACTTCTTGGTCTCACTGGCTGTGTCGGTCTACGTGCGCTTTGAGTCTGAGGCAGCGCGGAGCGCCCTTGGCTTGCATGCTGTGCGGTTGTCTCGGAACACGTGTGTCGTCTGCCTGTCTCGCTGCTTTCCTCAGTGTTGTCCTCTCTCAGCGCGCGAGCCTGTTCCTGTGGTGCGTGCGTGTGTTGCGGCAGTCTCTCTGCAGTAGTTTCGCCTTGGGGCAGCTGTAGCATTCCACAGCGGTTTGTGATGTGTGGGTGTTGGTCTCTGCCTGTGTCAGTGAGTTGGGGCCTCTGGGGCATTTGTACGTGTCCTAGCCTGCATCTGTGCGGTCGTGCGTGTTGTCTGCCGGCGACTCCCGTCTTGTTCCCCCTTTGGCGTGTGTCCGATGGTTCCCCGTGGTCCTTCCCCTCTCTCTCTTTCTCTCCGTGGGTAGGCGCTTCCCCTTTGCCTCTGGGCCTTGTGGTCTGTCCGGCTGTTTCACGCGTTGCCTTGTTTCCCGTGCCTGCTCTCCCTTGCTTGGTCCTTCTCCACGCCATCGTCTCTCTCTCTTGTGCGGTCCCTCAGCCTGTGGCAGGCTGTCTCTAGGTGTCCGTAGATTCCCCTGGGCCAGTTTCCAGGCATCTCCTTGGGGCGCTTGCCAACAGGCGCTGTCCGGCTCTTGGTGTCCGTATGTGTCAAGGGCGGGTGGGCACGGTTGAGCTGGCGGCGTCTCGGGCAGGCGGTGGGGGAGCGTAGCCAACAGGGATGGAGCAAACAGCGACGGCACTTTGCGTGGCCCAAGGTGAGAGTGAGTCCTGGGGTGGGCTGCCCAGGTGGCACGTGCTTTTGGGAGCACCTCGGGGAATGACGCTGAGAGGCACGGTCAGCCTCTTGCCGGGAAGGCTCCTGGCTACACCGTGTCCCCTACCTCAGACGAGGACTGTGCTTCCCCTAAATGTCCCTTGAGCTCCTCGCTTACCTCCTCGACACCACTGGGACCCCACCGAAGGGGAATGCAACAGCCCGCACCCACCCTGGGAGATGCCCAGCGCGGGGCAGGGGAGGTGGGACGCAAAGGGGCCGGGGAACCGCAGGGAGAGGGAGGGTGCCCTTCGCATGTTCGTGCCCGCTCGGCGCTGCCCTTAACGCTCTCCTTTGTCTTGCTCTTCTTGTCTCCCCTGCGCAGGGCCCGGAGCAGTGCACGATGGCGGCAACGCGGCATCCCGGGCAGCCGCTGGTCTCTGCCTCTGGGCCACCCTCCTCGCTCGCCTCCTCCTCGACTTTTGATAAGAGAGCGGAGGGTCCCGGGAGGCCCCGCCGCGCCTCTCCCCCGCCGCGGGCTCGCCCCGCCGCGCCGCCCGGGGACTCCTCTCCGTCAGACGGGCGATGCGCCGGAGGACGGGCGGCGGCGCCGAGTGTCCGAGGATGGCCCCGTCTCCCGCGTGCCGGGATCTTTCTCGCCGCCGGTTACGCTGTACAGACCCCACCACGTGCCACCAGACCGTCACCCGCCACCGTCGCCCCGGGGATGTGGTCCGGCGCGGACGGGTCTCCCCGCGGCTCCCTCATCGCCGAGGCGGGCGCCACCTGGTACCGTCGCCAGGGATGTCCATCTCGTCGTCTCCCTAAGCCGCCTATGCCCAAGAAGACCCCGACGTCGAAGGCCCCTGGCTCTGCCGTCAGCCCTCTTGGTCCTGAACGTCCATTCACGCCACCAAAGCTCCTCCCTAAGCGCCCCCAACATCGCTGCCCTCCCACTCGCGGCGCCTGGCCTCGCCTCCGCTCCCGGGCCCTTCCCGCTCCGCGAGGCTCGCCATCCCTTTCCAAGGGGGTCATCCAACACAACCGCTTATCCCTCGAGGGTCATGCACCTGCCGCTAACTCTTTCTCCCAGCTAACGTCGTACCCGCCTCGCCAAAAACCCCACACCTTCCTGACGACGTGAGGCCGCTCTCCCAGGAAGGTGAACTCGGCAGCCCTCACGGGGATGAGAGCCCCCTCCTCCCCACGGATCCCTGCCCGCTCTGCTGCCGACCCACTAATGGCACAGCCCACCCTGGGGCTCTCGCCCCGATGTGCCACCCACTCTGGATGGCGAGTTTCCTCCGGGCTCATTTTCCAAGCACTTGCTGACCCGCGCATCAAAAGCACAGAACCGCTGACGCGGGGCAGGGGTGCTAAATGACGTGGTGAAACGCCAAATCGCGAGGCCCTCGCGCCATGGCTCTGACACTCGTGCCCGTCTGCACGTTCCCGGGCGGGATGGGACTGCGCCTCCCTGGTCTGCCTCCCTGGAGCATTTGGCTCAGCGTCTCCGCCTCCCCGAGGGATGGAAGAAACGCGGAAGGCGACCCCGAGCCGCGACATCCGCGCTCTGCCTTTTCGCACGCCCGCCGCGTGCCCCTGGCTGCGGACGGCCCCGACGTGTTCAGCCCTGCGGAGCAGGCTCGGGCTCCGTAGATTTGCTGCGCCGGCACGACGGGGCCAAGGACGGCTCCCATGTCCCTGGCCCATCCTCCCTGCTGCGACGTGCCCTCGACGCCAAAACGGGTGCACCCAGACTCTACCCTCTGCTTCCTCCAGTCACCCTGGGAACTTCCACCCCCGCCTCCCGTGGCGGCATCCGTATTGCCTCCCCATGTCCGGAATCGTGCTCCCCCTCGCCCGGTACGCGACGATGGTCTGGAGCCTTCCCGATGCTCCGTGGCCGCCCAGGAACTGCTCTGGGGGCCGCGGTCTGGTGACGGACCCTCCTGCGCCGCTCAGGAAAAAAAGTCACATGCGGTGCCAGACCCTGCGACACGGAGACTCGACTCCGCGGTGATGCACCGAGCGAGAGTACAAAGCGTCCCCCCCGTCCCGACCTGATGCCTCCCCGCGCCTCACCCTTTCCTTCTCCCTCCGTAAGCGAGACAGCTTAAGAATGACGGCCCTGCACATGCTGTCCTTCCCACACAAACTCTGCTGCCGCCGAAACCTCCTCGTCCCACCATCTGGCTTTCTGTGGCTGTGACGAAGCTGGGGCTGATGGTCCTCGGTGTGCAAGATGATAGAAAAAAAAAAAAAAAAGACCCCGAGCCAGAGACCGCTATGGGCCACCACCTTGTCCTCTACGTGGCCATGCCCTGTCCTTGTCCCCGCTACCGATGGGCTGCCTGGGACCTGCGCCGATCAGCGCCTGGTGTGATGATGTCCCCAAAAAAAAAAGAACAACGATGGCTACAAAAATCTCAATGGACTCTCCTGCCCTTGCACCCTTGATGTTCAACATGTACCATGGCCGATAGGCAAAAAAAAAAATGTGGCCTGACGTGGAGGGGGGGTGGGGGGCTCTGGCGCTGGCCCGAAGCGCTGGCTTACCTGACAGGCGGGGATCCGGTGCCGCACCGCGTCCCGTGGTCCCTGCGGCGCTGCTCGGCTTCTCCGCCGGCCATCCCGGAAAGGCGGCCCCGGCAGTGATCCCAGTCCTGCCCCGTGGCCCCAGGTGCCTTCGTGGAATGGGGATGCCGCCGTCTTGGCGCCGGGCACGCCCTTCCCCTCTGTGCCCGCTCCAAAAATACCCTGGTGGGGGGGCACGGGAGACGCCTCACCCTGACACCTTCCCCAGTCTGTGCCTCCCCATGACGGCCGCCCTGCCCCCGCCCCGAAGGTCTCTCTCTCTTCTCGCGGCATGAACGCTGAACTAAGCCCCAGACACCCTGGGGGGCTGGAGGCCGCGGCATAGCGGAGAGCGGAGGCGACGTGTGCCAAGGCTGGCGGAGCTGGGGCCGCTCTCCCCCCTCCCCGCGTCCCCCCCCCATTCATCTCCTCCCAGTGCCATGTGGGCTCCCCCATCCTCCGCTGCCGGGTCGGCGTGCGACTGTCTCGTGCCGCGTAACGTGCCAATGTGAGGAANGTGTGTCGGTTGTCCGAGGCCGTCCCCGCCAAGGCGCCGCAGGGCGGGCGGCGCCCCC